TTAAATAGTTCCGGTCATTAAATACAAATAAACAGACTTTCAAAAAAAGGTGCGCTAAGTTCTCGCAGCGCACCGAATCAAACAAACTATTTAAATTAACTATTTCTTTAGAGTTCCGGTTTGTTTTACAATAGTTCTAGAGTTCTATATCATATATAACAATAGTTCTAAAGAAATAGTTGATTTTACTGATTAAGTGCGCTTCGAGAACTTAGCGCACCTTTTTTTAAAAGTCTATTTTTTTGTATTTAATGACCGGAACTATTGAAAATTGTTGCAAAGAGCTCTAGAACTTTTCAAGAGAGTATCAGAACTCTAAAAAAAATGTCACATTTTTAAATATGGTGTGCCAAGTTCACACAAGTGTGATAAATGGCGAATGAAGATTGATTACCGATCTTTTGCGACGGCGCCGCGACCGGTCACGTAACAAAAAGCGCACGAAATTTATCTCATGCAATATTCATCGGGAGGATTATGGGATATACCAGAAGCGTCGGTAATTACTAACGAAGCACAGGCATACGACATCGGCGAGACACCGCTCGCGTCTGCAAATTGCCGATATCGCGTCGCATTGCGCCAGATAGCGAGCGAGCGAATGTCGATAACGGTATCGATGTATGAGGATTTGATAGACACTCGACCGCCTATCGTCGCCTTCTTGCTCGCCTTGGATATTTCCTCTCGTACGGTCTTTTTGTTTTTACACGCGACACACGCGCCTGCGCCGAGACCTTCATCGAAATTTCTTCAAGATGTAACGAGATTTTATTATACGTCGATTATCGAGAAATCTCGGCCGTTTAAGGGAGCGTGCGCCCGGCGTGCAAGAAGCCGGGTTACAGCAAATTTCTGTGCATGGTTCAGTTATCGTAGATATACATTGTTATTTAATAGCACTTTAGACTTTTACGGGGAGATTTGTGAAAATCGTAAATTGATTTTTAACTTTATTGTATTATCGCTCGTTTACCGGGCGTGTTTACGTTTTCTCGTTTTTTCTTTCTTCTGACCATAAGCGGACATCTTGTCGGGGAAGTTTGAATTTTTAAAGGCGCGACGCACCGAATATGATATTAATCCGATGTCTCATGTCAAGTTCGCGGTATGCCTCTAATTTGTCCAATTAGACCGCGAGTGGAATTCTTTCCAAGCTAATTAAAATTTCTAACGATAAATGGCGTAATGTAACTCCGTATCTCTGATAAATTTCATTACATTCTGTCTCTCAATGCATATTGTATTCACCAAGCAAATTATTCGGTCGGTACAGTCAACAAGGCCGGTCAAGCGAGCCGATCGATCTGATTTGCATTTCTACCGTCGCAAAGAATGAGTGCGACAATTATTTTGATTAATTCGGGAGCTGAAACATCTTAAGACGCAAAGAACATCGTGATCACTTTGGCGATTTTTATTTTGAGCTAATTGTCCTTTTCTCACGACATTCGCTTGCTGCGCTTAATTCGATACGAGGGTCAGACGCAAAATAAACGAGAGAAGGATCAGAGATTTTTCGCGTCTTGTAGACTCTTTACGCTGCTCTTTACGCTTCTTTAAACTGTTCGCCGATTCGCCAATGTTTGATGCAACATTGCGTCATATCAAATATACGTAAGAGACACGAAAGATAACTGGTTCATTTCGTTGTCATGTTTATTACTCAACGTATATGCCGTGGCAGTGAATACGTGCCGATTCGCACGGCGCGCATCGCACGCGACGTCACCGTGTATGCATGATATTTCGAGAATCAGTCTGGCGAATCAAGTATGCGTTCGCTGATATATTCTAAGAACCGCTGACTTGTCGAGCGACAAGGTCGAATCTGCACGTCATA